ATTTATTGCTGGAGTCTGAAACAAACATATTTCACTATTATGATGCTTGAACTGAATTAAAAATACAATCTGTAGCCCTCCTTTGCTAGAAATAAAAGGTTGAAAGGTGGTAGGCAGACCATTATTTATATCTCTACACTTTATCACTTCTCAGTTCTCTTCAATCCTCCTAATTCTCTTCAATCCAGTAAACTTGGCAGCTGCCTTCACTTTCATAGCTACTGATTTTCAGACAGGTAACAAGTATTTCTGGGTCTCACTGCTGTCAGTATTTTTGTTCTGTGTTAATTTAGGTGCTACAACTGATAGAAAAAAACTGGGCATGTAGAGGGGAAGAGGAAATTGCCCTTACCAGAGGAGGATGCCGCTAGCAGGGTAGTCCTCATTTGTCATGAAAATGGGGGCAGATAAGAAAATCCGTGAAGCAGGGATAGTCCACCATACAGAGTATCAGAAAGTCAGGCTTTGAAGGTAGGACATTCTATTTCAAGCCAGAGGGGCAATATTAAAACAAAACAAAACACAAACAAAAAAATTTTGGATGCTAAGAATTGGACTACAAACTTTGCATGTAAGCCTGTTTTCAAGTTTTAATGGAGAGAGGGAGAAATTTATTCAACTGACCTCTGGTCAACATGTCTCAATCAAATTCCTTTCAATGAAGATTGAGAAAAACATAAAACCATCTAAGTGGGGCCAAATAACATGGAAAGGACATTGCCTCGATAACTTAAAGGAAAAAGCAGATTTCAGAAAATGATTAATTACGAGCGATAAAAGAAAAATTATAAACTTATTTTAGTTCCAATTTTTAGTGATGCAAGAATTATTAAAATTATAAACCTAATTTTAGTGATGCAATAATAAAAGACTTTATAAAACAGGTAAGAAAACTCAAAGTGAAAACAGGGGAAATTAAAAAAAAAAGAAATCAGGAAATGGAAAAGAGAAATTGATATTAGAAAGACTTACAAGAGAACTAAATATACTGTAAAATAAAAATCAATATTTCAGCCAATAAAAGGCAGAATAACATTTTGAAAATGGACTCAATGGTACGGAGGACTAACTTTAATGTCTTTCCAGAATGTTAGGAAAAGAAAAAAGAGGTAAAAAATGAGAAAGTTATTTCATAGAGGTAATAAAACCAATGGCAAATCTCATTCATTTCTCATTCTCTCATTTCTGTTCTGTCCCTGAAGATGAAATAAGCATGATTGGGACAGATAACATTTTCAAAAAGATAATTGAAATGAAGTTTCCAAAATTGAACACAAGCCTGAGTGTGTAAATCAAAACAATTTGATCCATTTCTGTCACAATCAAACCTAGGCATGTAATGTAATTATAACACCACATTAAAAAATTCTATGTAGGTGAAAGAAATTAGCATTGTTGCCTACTAAAAAAAATACCCTACAACAAAAACAAATAAACAAAAATGCTGTCTCTGTCTTCCTTTTCATCATGGAGAGTAACAAGAAAATTCAAGACAAGATAGAACATATACATTATTTTTAACACAACGTTAAATTGCCAAGACTTTATTAATCAATGAATGTGTATATTTGAAGGTAATAAAATAAAAAAAATTATTGAATTTATATTTTCAGAACACAACTTTAACTTTAAATAGTGAGTGTGCTACAACTGGAGGCAATTGCACATTTGATGAATACTCCAGTAATTGCCAAGTCAGGATTCTGTCAATGTGTCTAGGTGCACATTACATTTGCCCTGGGTCTGCCTCAAATTGGCAATTTCATATCTGTTTATTTACTTTGCTTAATGAGGTATGTATCTTGCTTGTTTTGCTTGAAAACCTTTTTAATATTTGATTCTGTGTCTGAAAATTTTTCATGCATGTATATTGTCTGTAAATAAATAGAAAAGGAACTGATCACAAGTTACAATTGCATGGTTGATTAACACAGCTTCTAGTTTAGCTCTATAAACTCATAAGTTGTAGCTTATGTAGTTGTAGCTTACTTTCTTTACAAATGGAAAAGCTGTGTTTAAAAAAAAAGTGGCTCTTAGACTCTTCAAATTATTTTTTGTTTGGAAGACATAGCAATATGAATATAATAAATATAATTTCTTTACATTCACACATCCATCCATCACTTTTACTATTTCATACTATCACCATCAACAAATAAAACTTAACTCAGTGTTTCTAACATCTGTTTTAGTACACATAATAATTTAAAAATTTTAAAAATATTTAAACATTTTTAAAATTGCCCTGCCAAAATCTATGTAAAATAATACTACTTCCCAACACACAAACCAAAAAAGTCACTTTTTAAATTCAAATTGAGTTTAGAAGACATTTCTTTAAAATAAACACTTGTCAAGAATTCCATAGTTTCTACGTATTGGTAAATGTTCATACAGATCTCTTCATTCCAATGTGAAGACTGCCAAGCATTCATCAGAGCTAATCAGTGTTTTCTGAAATAATTAGTACTAACAATAACATTCTCCTATAGGGGAGAAGCAGGTCTGACAACTATCAAAGATTAAAATATGGCTGTAGATGCTCAGGATTATAAAAAAAGATATTTAATGTGCCTACCAATGTCTGAAAGATTACTCTCAGAATGTATATATTGAAAAAAAGATAACACTTTGGATCATGGTATGTGTCTGTCATGTTTAATTAATGACTATGTTATAATAAGAGACAGGCTTTCGATATCCAATGAGTTTTTATCCAAAATTATATGCATGTTTTAACAAAGCAAGTAAATATAAATAAAGCTGATGTCTTCAAATAAGCAAATGTTTCTCTTGTATCACATTTTCTCAGCCTTGCTAAAACACAATCATTAATGAGCTGAATTTCATTAAAATAAATCTCTACTCATTAAAAAAAATCCTTGTTTATTGGTTAATACATTTAGTGGAATGCAGACTTCATAGAGTTCATAGAGTTCAAGACCAGCCTGAGCAAGAGGGAGACCCCATCTCTAATAAAAATAGGAAAATTAGCCAGGTGTCATGGCACACACCTATAGTCCCAGCTACTTAGCAGGCTGAGTCAAGAGGATCACTTCAGCCCAGAAGATTGAGGCTGTAGTGAGCTATGATGACACCACTGTATTCTACCCTGATGACAGAGCAAGACTCTGTCTCAAAAAACAAAACAAAACAAAACAAAACAAAACAAAATGTCAATACTCTAGTTTATAATTCACACTATAATTGAGAGTGGGAAGAAAGAAGCATTCTCTTACATATTGTTAATATTAAAATTCCTTCAGTATTTCTAACAGGTGTTCTGTCAAGTGATCAAGACAGTCCCATTCTCCTTGGCTTGATTAAAGGGTTAGACAAGCTTCTTCCTGACCTTATGCCCCTGATCTCCCTTTTCTTAGAGAATTTATCTAAGAAAACTTGTAATTGTAAATTCAGGGTAAGGGAAGTTTCAGAAAAAAAAAATTATAAATTCATCCTCTGCCATTTTAAAATGTAAAACTTTTTAAAAGTTTCTTGCCAGTGTCATGAGGCAGAAACATCTTTCTCAAGGGCCTGGAAGCAATCCCTTTGAACTGTTAATTGTCTAGGAAGATAGTACCCCTATCTCACATTCTCTATGGGAGACTAGGATCCTAACTTCAGTGGGTTCCTTGCTCTAAGTTGTAAAACTATCTCCTGGCAGGAAGATACCAGGAAGTAATTAGCAAACACAGGTGGCATACAATTTTACTCCCTGCCACCAGCCCCAGCTCTTAAAAACTCTCTAATCCTTTGCTTAGTAGAAATGAGCTAAACTGAGTTCTGGCCTCTCCTCTTTACTGCAATAATCTCTTGTTTATTTTAACCTGGTTCAGTGCAAGGTTTGCTTTGACGGAAGATATAAGTTCTGTAATACTCCTTTAACTCCATGATTTCATAGCTTGTCATTTATGTACTTACAAATATGCATGTACAAATTTGTTCACTAAGCATTATTTATAATGACAAATGAAAATCAAAATGTCTATAATTTTAAGTGGAAATGCTCTGCAATTACATTTATAATATTGATCTACTTGCATTATATATTATATATATATATATATACATCAGAAGATGTATGTATGTATCTACATGAATGATTCTTTCCATTTTTCTTCATTTTCTAAATTTTTATTATAAATATATTTAACAAGTAATCTCAAAACACTTAACATACAAATTATATTTGAAAAAAATAATTCCTTGTATATATTATGTTTCCTAATAATTAGGTATTTAAAATATGTAATTAATTTATTATATAACAAAAATAAGATTAACCTACTATCTGCCATAGTGTTCTAGTTGCTAAGTCTTTATTAATTATTAATTAATTAATTATTAATGAAACGAGAATATAATTGTGAGATCTTGACATTAATCATGGGTAAACTGTAATTGCAAGAGTACAATATTCATGTTAGGGGAAATGGTTTCATCTGCACAGAAGTTTCAAAATTCAACAAGCTTCTGATAATAAGGATAGCACAAGTGCACATTGGGAGTTAATTACATGTTTGGTTCTTAACGATCAATAAGACGTATACCCCCTATTTACCTATAAGAAAATAGAAGCCCAGAGAAGTTAAATAAATCCCTAGTGAGTGAAAGATGCAGGATTTCATGCCACAACCTATTCTGCGCATTTAATCATTATATTAAACTATTGTTGACTCAACATTCAATTATATCTATTATTAATGCTGCTTTCCAATTCTTTGGGCCTTATTTAATTGTTTTTATAATAAATTAAAATGAAGCATAAGCTCATAGTGTTCTGAAAACAGTCAAGGGACCTACAAAGCAAACTAATTTATTGTGTAGCTTCTAATTAGCTGTAATTACAATATTTAATAAATGAAACACCTACCTTTGGAGATAATCAAATCTTTTCACTGAACTCCACTAGTGCTATGGCGTATACAAAGAGGTAATAACAATCAGTAGCATAATTCAAATGCTGTCAGGAAATGTAAAAGTACAATTTATTGCCAAACCTGAACTATTCTTCTTCTAAAATAGATTTAATATGGAAACTGGGTATAGAAAAATGAATTACATATTCATACATAATTTAACTCTAATTAAGATAGCATGCCTTATTTCCACAGAACACACTGATTCACGTGCATGTGCCCACACACATGCAGACACATTCAGTCATCTGAAAAGTTCTTTATTTATAAAATTACTAAAGAATGTCTATTAATACAAGAGGTCAGTGAAAGTGCTCACCATTATGCATTAGATAATTAAACAATTGTAGGCACTGCTGCAGCCACTAATACCAATACTTTACTAATAAAGACAGAGATTCAAATTGTTTCAGAATCTGATCTCTTTAAGAATAAAGCATTTACCATTAATGTTTAAGCTAGTTTATTTTTAAGGCAATTTTTTGAGGAATTTATTATATTCAGTTTACAATTTTCAACACTTATGTATAAGTTCCAAAGTGCATTTTGTTCTTTTTCAGATTCATCTGGGGTGAAGAGAAAGATATAAAAAATTAGGGGTGATTTATGAACTGTATTTGCTCCTTGTGAATATGCAGGACGAAATGGTAAGATCACTGGGCATGAAAAGGGGGCACAACTTTACATCTTACTTGCTCCTAAGGGGAGAAACTCTATGATATTGTCTCTGAATAAAAGTCTAAGCATTCAAGAGAGCAGCAGCAGCAAATAATAGTAAACTTCCATTTGCTGTATAAGGAAAGAAAAAACTAGCACGTGATATCTTCATTCAGCTCTTAAAAACAAAGAACAAAGTGATATTACTGCTATTTTGGCTTTTGGATTTCAGAACAAATGAACAAAAGGAAATGCAGATGGACAAAGATGCTAACTAGCTTAAAATGTATCTGCAACAAAAGAATAGCTTACCCCCCCCCAAAGACAGCATAATCCATAAAAAGTCAAGAACATTTAACTGCCAAGGATATTCTGAATTAAGTACAAGTTTCAGGATATTTCCTTTGTAATTAATCAACTATCTAAAAAAAAATAAGAACAATTTGTTTTTCCTGGTACTCTAAAGTTGGAACAACTCATTCCCACCCCCAACCCCCCCCAAAATCAGTCAGCAGGATTAATAGGTCTTTCATAGCCACAATCCCAATAAATATAATTTCCTCAAAGCATTAACAAATCAGAGATTCTGGGTATTTGGTTGGCATATTTGTTTTAAAATACCAAATGATGCTTTTATTCATCATTTATAGAAGAAATGGAATTTTCATTTTAATTATTTTTATCTAAGATATAAATAAGTACAATTTTTAAAATGCCAAGGTATTTTTAGATAATATTTATTTCAAACTATTTTTTTGTGTGTCCAAAATATGTCCTTCTTGAATTTCCTTCAAACTGTCGTCTAACCAGTGGCTATATACTCTTACAGTGACAACTATTATCCATTATCCAGCACTTGACATGCCAGCTCAACACCACTATATTAACTGACTTTCGAGTTTTCTCACTCCCTGGGGGGCCCTCTCTCCTAAGATTGATGAGGTGGGACACAGTGTTTGAGCTGCCATCCTGGCTTGACAAACAGCACGAATGGTCCTTGCACGGAATGGAGGAGGAAGGACAAGGCGGGGAGAGAACTGCAATGTGTACTGGAATGGCTGCAGCCTCATGCACATGTTTTCCAAGGCAATTGAAACATTGTTTCTCAGATTTCACACATAACTTCTTTCTTCAATTAAAGTGCCCAAAGCTGCCTTAGTACTTATTACAAATGTAATAATTAGAAAGGGATTAAACGTCTGTCCCACAGATATTTTAAAGAAGCTACTTTCTAAGATAAAAGTTGCTGCTCCTTCCAAGTTTAAATACACTAAAACTCTAATCACTTCTTGTAATTCCCCAAACAGTATTTTCACTTTCTTTTTAACTATTAAATTCACTCTGGCAGAGCTACGGTAATAAAACCCATCATATTCTAATTTTCAGACAGCTTGATAGAACCAATGTTCTCGCTAGAGATAAAGTGTAATGAAGCACTTTCTTTCCCATAGGAAAGTCTTTGACTCATATGCTTTGATGCCAACTAGCCTTCACATCTGCCCTTTCACCATTGATGGCTGTAACTTGGCATGCGGACTGGTGTCTGATGAAGCAGCTTTACTCAAAGGCACCATTTTATGTCCTGCAATGGGAACATAGTAAAATGGTGTTGGTTTCCTGTAGGCCTTATGCAAATCCCTGTAATAAACATAGGATCAGGCCTCACATACAATAAATTGTGTGTTAGATGAGGAAAGGGATAGAGAGACAACCTCCTTGAGTAAAAATAACTTCCTTACTATATAAATAAATCAAATGCATAATAAAGAATTAAATCAGTCGTGTTTTAAATATTTATTTCACACATGGCTAATTTATACCAAACCATTTTAGGCACTAATAAGAATATAACAGCAGTTTAAAAATACTGGCCTTACTTTACCAAACAAAATATTACCACTTAACTGAATGTTAACAGTAATGCATTTCCCTCACCATTAATAAAGGAAAAATAAAATGTAAGAGAGTTAGAGAATTATATGGCTACAAAAATCTTCACTGAGACATTTCTTTCAGATTTCTGGAAAAGGTATCTGATGAAAAATGTAGAACACAGCAAGATGAACAGAAAAAAAAACTGCCATAACACTATTAATCACTAATGTAAACTGTTTACTCAAATACATTAGTGTTCAATCACAGAGCTTTTGTTTTGTGTATTTCATTTGAGTACATAGAAAAATAAAACAATAAAAATTATCCATAAACTTCAATATGTGAAACAAACAACAACAAAAAAATAAAATTTCTGTTTTGTTAGTTTTTCCATTGTTAGAGCAGTATATCAATGTTATGTGTCAACTGCACAAGTTAGAGCAGTATGTCATGTGTGAGGTGCATTTTGTTTCAATTTAGATCTGCAAATGGACATGGAGGAACTCTCAAGTAACACAAGGGAATATGTAAATTAAATTTATGTAATAATAACTTTTCTGGTTAAAATAGGTGCTATTTTTTTCTATAATAAGTAAAAGAGTGGGAGTACTTCACCAAACCCAAATCTCAAAGCTCTTGCTAAGAACCCAAATTAATACATATGTACACAGTAGGCCAATTAATGTCATCTCTTTAATGTCAATTAAAAATTATCTCTTCTTAATCTACACACCTTAAGTAAACACAAAAGTCACAAGTACAATCCTCCAAGACTCTAATATGCCTCCTTATGCACTCCTCTCTAGTTTCCCCTCCACCTCCATGGTAGAAGAACCTACAATAAAGACTTACAAAGAAAGGTGAATATTCACTCCCCAGATCCCTTAGAACATATATTTTCTCAACTTTTGTTCAGAGACACAAACAAAATTCAGGATTCATCCCTCCATGTAACTCTGAGACACAAGAACACTCTCTCTTCATCCTGCCATGTGACAATTCTTATGCTTATCTATTGAGGACCTACAAGAATAGAATCACAAAGGAAGATATATAAAGATTATTTACTCTCAACAAATCGCTGTTGAAAAAGTATATAGACACAATTCTGGTACATAATTTATAAGAAGTAAGAATGTGATTGTACATCTCAGTCTGATATTTTGTGGGGTCTGGTTTTCAGAAAAAGAAAAATGCCCACTCTGTTATGTAAAATAAATGGGAATAGATACAATCAGTTATTAACTAGTAATGCAAAAATATAAAAGGATTATTTACATTTCAAATTAAATTTACTCTGTCTGCACAACAGTATCTCCAGAGCAGGTTTCTTAAAATTCGGAGTTTGGGATCCCACCTCAAGATATTCTGAATTAATTAGCCTGGCAAGGAGCTGGGACTTCAATATTTTCTAAAAGGTCTCCAAGTGATTCTAAAATTCTCATGTGCAGTCAGGTTGAAAATTACTGACTTAAACAAATGAATATTTACTTATTTATGTATTTATATCTTCATTGAGTTATGATTGACAAGTAAATTATTATTTAAGGTTTACAACATAGTATGTCTTTATGTAAGTGTACCTTGTGTATTGATTCTCCCAATCAATCTATTTAACATATCTATGACCTTACACAGTTACTTACTGGTGTGTGTTTTAACACTGAAGATCTATTCTCTTACCAAATTTTTAAGCATAAAATTTTAAGTATACATCTAAATAAACATGGTAGCTTTTATGTGAGCATGTATTTAACAAATCAATCATCCCTGTACTTACTGAAAAATCATAAAAATTTCTAATCATCATATTGTTAACTAATTTCTTCTGAATAGTGGTGGAAAATCATCAGAATCAGTATAAAAGTAAATGTGTGCACATTGAAAGACAAAACCCAATTTCTAACCATATGCTGACAAATAATTATTGAATGTTTTCTTTTTGATGACCATACTCAACTAGAAAATTTGCTACATAAAATATGAAAAATATTTAAAGAATAAGACCTGGAGATAAACATATCTAAAATTCAAATCACTTTAGGTGTCCTTTCTCATCTTTGAATACTATTTTGAGGTTAAGTTTCTGGATATGCAAAATGGAATTTTCAAAATATTTATCAACAATATATCAAGAAGAAAATAAACATTCATCTCAGAAAATATTTTTTTAATGTGAAAAGTACACTATGATTGCCATTTTGAGAATTTACTCTGCTAATGTGTAAATCACTTTGTAGTAAGTATATTTGTATTACCATCATTGTTCTAAATAAAAACAACAGACAAAAATTATGTTTTGCTGAAATTTGAAAAATTGAAGCAATAAACAATAAATGTTTTTAAATTTACTACAAATGCAGTAATCTACCAACTTTTTACATTCTAGCTGTCAATTCAAAAATTAATATGTTCTAGCAGTATTTAAAAAGCAAAATCACTAAATCTCATGGAAAAATCATTGCAAGCATGCCACACTAGCAATTCAACCTTCAAAACCTATACTATCACACTAGCATAATTTAAGTTCAGAAGTTCATTGAACTGGTAAGATCAAAATAAGTGGCGGACTATAAACAATATATTATAGTTGTGTCTACCCTGATGCCTTAATGCAAATGTTTTAGAATCTTAATATGATCAAAAGTTGAGGTTGTGTGGGTGAGGCTAAATGACCTATGTGCTTAGCTCTTCTGAGTAATGATGATTATGCTATTATATCTTTGGTTATCACTTTTATGATGATACTATGTACATCCCTTGGTTATTGCTTTCATAATTAACAAGTCACTTAACCTCTCTGTGGACCAGTTTCCTCATATGTTAAATGAGCATAACAATAATTGCTTCTTACCTTTCTTAGGAGTTGCTCTGAAGATTAATGAGCTGATATTTAGAATGTACTTCAAGAAGGCAGACTTTCAAAAAGAAAAATAAGAAGGAAAGAAAAGAAAGAGAAAGAGAGAAAGGAAGGAAGGAAAGAAGGCAGAGGAAAGGGAGAAAGGAAGAAAGAAAATTCAAGAAAGAAAGAAAAAACAACTCAAAAGAGAAAACTCCTGTGTTGCTAGGTACCAAAAGCTAAAACTTTTTATCCCAAATGGATTAATCCACTGGTCTGCATTCCTAACTTTGTTACTCACACTTCCAAATAATAACTTGACTTTTAATAGAATATTAAAATGGGAATGTCATAGACGGCCACATATTTTGAAGAAACCTTTTTATCCCTCAATGGAAGAACAAAATTTTGTAAGTAATCACACATTTTTTTCTGAAACCCTGTCATAGGCTTTCCATTGATGAACGCAACCAGCCTTCATTGTGCCAATGAATAACTGTATAGAACTTGGTAAAAGCTGATGCTGCCATAAAGAAAACCCAAACGTGTAGCATTGTTTTAGGGCACACATAGTAGATGACAATGAAATCATTTGAGGAGGCTGGGAAAGTGGAAATAAGAAATTATAGGAAAAATACTATTTTGTAAAGTGCACCTTGCATTAACTTGGAAGATAGAAAATACACTGATAATCTTTTATATTTAGCCAAAAACAAATCATTCTAAGCATCAGCTGGTTAGTTTTAGCTATATGTCAAAAGGTAATACAATAAAGAGATAGATTATTAATAACAAGAACAGGGAGATGATGGAGAAGGTGAAGGAAGAGGAGTAGGAGGAGGAGGAGAGGAAAAGAAAATAAATAACTCATTTTACAAGCAGAATTTAGAGGTGATATAGAGGGGATAAAACCTGAATGGTTAGATAGTAACAGTATTTATCATCTTCACTGTCTCACACCAGTGAAAGTTCTTATAATTGTCTCAACATGGCCTCAGGCCATAATTAAGGATCAAATTAAGCATGTTGCCTTAATGCTTTCTTAAAATCTCTGAATAAGTTAAGGCAATGCCTTGTAGACTTTCTCATCTTGATAAAGACTTCAGGCCCAAAGTAGCAATGGCTAAGTCTAAAGAGAAGCATACCTTAAAAACAATTATGGACGCTTGAAGCTCTGACTTGGGGGCGGGAGGGGGGGTAAGGCAATATATGTAAACCTAAACATTTGTACCCCCATAATATGCTGAAATTTAAAAAAAAATGCTAAGTGCAATCCAAAAAGAAATTATGGGTATGGCTTTTAGAGAAAAAGTATACTCAGTTGGATATAATCAAAGGCCACAAAGGTTTGGCAGAAACTGTACTGGTAAAAGACAGACACCCAGTGTAGAAAAAATCTGAGTTTGTTTAAAATGTAGAAAAGCCTCTGGATTCCCAAGTTTCTTTGAAGACAGCTGACTTGTAAGTTAAGTAAAAGTTTACACTACATGCCATTAAGAGTTTTTGGTTGTTCGTTAGGCAACATTGGGTCAATTGATAGAGAACACAAGCCCAAGATATATATAAAATCAGTGCTAGAAACTAGAGATATTAAAATGAATATTACAGATTCATTCAGTCCCTATTCTGCTGCTGTGCAGTGTAATGCAGAAACATACAAGAACCAATAAAATAAATCTTGGAGTTATATTTTAATGATAACTGAAGTAAAAAATGTTTAGAGAATACAAAGAAAGGAGCACCTTACCCAGACTGAGTTGATGTATACATGGAAAGGCTTGGGAAAGTTTACCTAGAATAAATAAAGTGTAAACTAGGATCTAAGGAATACAGAGATCACCACCAATTGTGTTGGCAGGGAAGGCCGGGGATACAAAAAGCACATAACAGGCATTGAAGAAGAAGGTGCAAGAGTTCAAGATGAATCACAGGACTAGAAACACACCAGTTTGGTTGGAGTTTAGAGTGTAAAAGACAATAAATAGAAAATGAGAAGAAGCCAGATAATTATGTGCTTTGTAAACTTGCTAAGGAAGTTATCCTATCCTAAAGCAAATGAGATGGAGAGCTTTATGTCAGTATGGTAACAGTGTAGAGAATAATAGGGGCAAAGCTGGGAAAATGGAAAGTTATATGGTTAAAGCAAAACCCTGAACAGAGATGACATTGGTGTGAACTAAGATAGTAGTGAAGGAAATAGAAAGATATATAGGAGGTAAAATAGAAGTTAAGATATGCTTGGAGATGCAGAACACACACCTAAGATTTAACACATTCTTGCCACATAGGAAATCAGTGAATATTTAGTAAATGAAAACTTTACTTTTTATAGCTGAACATCCATATCATAAGATTGAGAACTCAGACACATAGTGACATTGGGTAAAATAGAACATCATAATCATTAGGTTAAAAAATGTTAAAATTACATAACAATATTATTTATAGTAAATACATTTAAAAGTTCAATTGATCAGAGATTTGGCATAAATTCTCAAATGAATTGCTAATTGTACCTTAATACACCATAATTTCAAAGTACATAGTCAAGAAAATAGTTTCTAAAAACAGTCACAGATTTTGTTTTCACTTATCCAATTATTCTTTCTTTATGACAATAGTAATCAGAAGAATGAAGCAATTTAAATTAAATAAATATGGTGTGGTGTTTTTCAAAATATATTTTAAAATAATTGAATTATGGGTCATAGAAACAAATTATTTGGCTGTATTTAAAATCATTCTAATTTCTAACAATAGCCACACATTCTAGTAAAGCTAACATACATCTATCAAGCTTTCACTAAGTGCTTAGCATATCGTGTTTCATTTATTATAATATTTAAAAAATATTCTGAGAATTATTCTGTCCATCATCCCAACTTAGAGATGAGAAGTCAGAGGTTTATAGAAGGCAGCGTATTGTCTAAATACAGCCAGAGGTGGTGGAGCCAGGAATTAAGCTCAAACTTCTCCGATTCCACAGGTTTATTTTATTAACTCCTAACAACTATTCTAAAATATAAACTCTATGTCTTCAGAAGAATTAAGTGATTTACATTAAAAATTTGATATCACTTAACATTTCATTTTAATATGTGCCAGCATTTTATTTAATAACTGTATAAAAGCACATTGTCTTCTTTGATATCATCTATTTCAGTGGGACAGACTATTTTAATACATGCAGTAAAGTCAAAGATTTCAGATAGGCCAAATCTAGACAAAGAATTTGTGAAAATTAGAAAACCTGAGTCATGGGTTACAGAGAAACAAATTTATTTAGCATCATTTTGTAAAAGATATGACTCACTTTAAAAATGTAGGGATTCTCAAAAGAAGCCATATCATCTACAGGGAATAGCTGAGTTATTTTTAATCCTGTAATCCTTAAGTATTCATTCATATAGTCTTTAGATTTCAGGGAGAAAAGAATGCTCTTGTTGCTTGGCAACATTTTGCATATTGTTTAGCCCTGGGGTGAGATTTCAGTTCTAGTACATCAAATTCTCAGATTCCAAGGTTTTGATTCCTCCTTTAATGTTTTTCAATAAAATCCCTGGGCTTTCATCTACTTTATCATCTAATATCATTCAGAACATATTGGAGATGCTATAGTGTTTTCCATTGTTTACATAAAATAACACTAGAACACTATCATTTCCTTAATTTTGAATTATTTTTGCCAGTCATAGCTTTACATTTGTCTCTGAAGAGGATGTGTGTGGAGTGTATGGATATAAAAAACAAGGAAGGAGGACTCCTCTTGAAGAAAATGTACATCGAGCTCAATGAACAAAATCAAGCATGGTCTTTGAAAATAGAATTATTCATTATTGTAGAACAATATAACTAACTCTGCTATGTCTCTGTAATACTGAAGACTTGCCACCTTTAAGGCCGGTTCTCTTGAGCCAGCTCTTCTTGTAGTAACAAAACTATATCATTTTTAAAAATGATTTTCTGGAACGGAGCATTCCAGAGCAATTAGTTAACAGCAGGGTCTTGTTAAATTAGTGAAAACAAGAAGGAAATTCCTTTAGAAGTCAGTGCCTTCAGGGTGGTTTCTAGAGTGTTTGTATGTGTGGCTGTTAATTAAAAAATAAAAGAATTATATAAAATGTAAAGAGACTACACACTAGTCCCTGGTTCATTATAGTGTTTCAAAATGAGTATGCATTTGTTTGAATTCCAAATTGCTAGAATTTTTTTTTAATTTCATACCATAGGCGATATAACTATATGTTTTAACAAGCCAAAACATGAAGTTGAAATTAGAACCTTTTAAGGTTACACTAAAATACTTGATGAGAAAACATTTGATGTATCCTTGTAAGTTCTTGGTTTTTTTTCCTGATTTCAACAGTAAGAATTCAGCATGTGATAAAGTTAGCAGACTGAGGAAACTGTCAACTTAGTGATTATCACCATGTGCTTTTTATTTTACTAGTACACATTCCAGAAGGCTTCAATTCTAAAGAGAGAATGTATGTGCTGTTGGAAACAGAAAGTTTCTTCATATCAATTTGCTCCAGGTGCTAGAGACACCCTGTGTGTGGGATAGAAAACTAGAGATGAAAGCGTAAGAAGAAAAAATCAGTAACAAGGAAAAATAAAGGTAGGCAAAAATTACACAGCAGAGAGCAACTGAACTAAAAAGAAAAATGAACAAAAAAAGGAAAACACAAAAAAGAAGAAAATAAGCTAAAAATAATATAAATAAAAAAATTGTATTGAATATGATTTCTCAAAGACGAACTTTGGTCATAATATATTTGATCCTTAAAACAAGATATTTGAGTCTTCTGGAAAATAAAAATAAAATTAAAACTCTGAAATAATTTTGAAACAGAAATAAACACTTCTCATGTCAAATCATTGTGTTAGGTACTTTTTTGTATTATTTTACAAATTCAACTTAAAAAGTCCTTTGAGCTATTATAGTAACTGAAACATCATGTATTTACTCCCTGCAGTTGTTCATACTAACAATGTGCATTTAGCAATTTCAACAGCTGATATTTTTTTTAAAAAAACATTTTATAACAAAGTTGGTCTTTAATAATTCTAAAGATTCAATTAGGAAAAATTGAATCATTAGAATTAATATAGTCTATTATAGTACCATACTGAACATAATGTTTGCTCATATTTGATTTTTCAATAAATTTGATTAAATAATAATGATTGTTCTAATTAAATGTAAAATATACATCAAATCTTTAATCTAGCCATATGATAAATTAGCTTCAAAAATAATTATTTTTTAAATAATTAATTTTTTTAATGATATGAATTTGACTAAACAATCAAATCTATCTTATTCTTTGGAAATTTGGTGTCCTCCAGAACTACAAGGGAGAAAGTTGATTTAGTCTAATAAGAATTTTTACAAAGAAAATGCCATAATTTGACAAAATTGCTGTTTTAAGTCACATAAAACCCAGTTCTATGATTGTTAATTTTTTTTTGTCTCCAACTATATTATAATAGCCCTGAAAGTGAAAACTAGACTTTATTTGCTGTAGACTTATTTGCTATATACCCAAGGTATAGTAGAATTTCTGGCACTCTATTGGCAGTTGATGAATAGCTTGAAGCAACTTTTTTTAAAAGCAATTATTTAAAAAAAAAAAAAAAAAAACCTACCACTTCCACTGCCCATTTGAACTGCCAATTGCATTTGTAGGAATACTGAAAGAGAATATCCATGTTTAAAACTTTACGTAACCTACAAAGAATGTACAAATGCCTGGTAAAATACAGAAGGAATTATAAAGTGATAATGGCTCCTAAAGTGAAATCTTCCCATCTAATCTACTTTGGCCCAGTGAGATAAGCTGGAATAAGGAGAAGAGAGGAAAAACAAAGAGCAGGACAAGGCACTCTATACAATAGGAACTCAGTGCAGGCACATTTTCCATTTAAGTGTTCCATATGCTATCCCTCTGGAAACCACTGTGAGTTCAACAGGATAGCCCAATTTTAGATTCTGTGCCTCATGGAATATTAGCTGGATGAATGTACAGACAATAAGAACTATTTCTCCTTGTTTTTCTTTTTTTTCTCCCTTCATACCGTGCTCCATTTCAACAGAAAGAAATATATCCATGGGAAATATTCTTACATGTATTTATTCTATTTTTCTGGGATAGCCAAGCATTGCAGAGTCTCAACATATCACTATTCAATTTTCAATAAATATATTATCTTTTCATTCAAAGATAAAACATCATGGGAAGAAAGATGTTACCTTTAGGTGGATTTTCCTCAGAAGAGAATAGAATACTTGTAAAGCAAAAAGTCCTTAGCATTTTCAAGTATTAACATGACTTGTCTTGGTGGACACATATTTAGTTGTACACCTCTCCTCCCGCTGAGGTATATGTTACTAATTACACTGCACAAATAATGGCATTGTTACAACCTTACATTCATGCATAGAGAAAGATTCATTTGTAACATATCATTTTAATACATAAATTTTAGGTAGCCAGTAAGACTTACCTTGAAAAAAGTCATGGTTGCACCATCCTCTACCGCTCCATACTCTATCTTGGTTTGTTTAGCTAAATCATCAGCAGAGTCAATAGGAGATTCCATGCGTTCCACTGTCAGAAAGGCGGCTAAGTTAGCAGTATACGAAGAAATGATGATAAGTGTGAAAAACCACCAAATGCCTCCCACTATCCTGGTGGAGAGCGCTTTGGGCATGAGCTCAGAACCTAACAGAGAGTGGGGGAAAGGTGAAACGAATACAGAGAATTTGATCAGCAATCAGATACTTTTGGTCATAGTGGCAGGGTGGAATCACTGTGTAATAAAAGCTTAAATTATTGTTTTAGTAAGCAAGCAACAACCATTGGGAGAGCAGAAGCTAATTTCAGGAAATAAAAAATCTCTTAGGCTGCTCTTGTTTAAATATAGTGACAGGAGACTCAAGTTCTACTTGAGATGGTGCAAAGCACAAATTAAAATATTAATTTTATAAAATCCTTTATAAAAATAGTATTAGAAGAGATTTTGAAAAACTCTCCAGTTTATAAACCACTTGTATTGTTTGTCATAATTTTGTTAATTATGTGGGTTTCAGAAGAATGTTTTACCATACATTCATATCCATTTCTTAACAAACTGTAAAGTTTCATTTTTCATGTGCATATATAGCTGATATATTCAGTCTATCTTGTAATTTAAAAAATTAATGTTATATAATAAAGTAAGTTACCCACATTTCTTGAAATGATGTGAAGTTTTATCTCAGTGTTTATTTAAAAATAAGATAGTAAATTTTTTTCTGTGGATAAGCAAATATCTCCCATCACTATCATTAGCCTCAATGAAGAAAATTAGAATAAGAATAGATAGCTAAATTGCCACATTTATTTTCATACATATAAAAATATTTCATAAATACATCACAATGTATGGCTGGAGTTGCCTGCCCATGGTATTAATAAGAGAGTGGGATTTGAGAAATTACCTTTTACTTTTGGTTATTATTAATTTTAATTCACTTAGATTATAAAGTAAAATCTTAACAGTTTAAAAATTTAGTCAGCGATCATTTAAATTTTAATTATAATTTTACCACATTATTTACAGTCTTAATGTTTAAATGAAGATATACCAGTATGTGCAATTTTTATAAATATACTAAATTTCTAGAAATGTAAATAATATATTATTAACTTTTAATAATTTTGAATCTATCAAAAAAGTATCTTTAAAAGAGTTTGAGTAAATTGGAATGAAGCAAAGATGGACTTACAGCCAAATCTTTAATATAATCACTGATGCAGTAAGGTAACACCTCTTTCGATGGAATAAAAAATAAAACAATTTATTCATGTGAACCTTGAAAAAGAAATGATATCCCAACTGCACTATATCAAAACAGCCCATCTTACACTGAGGTTCATCTTACCCTTGAAATTTC